ACACCAATCTACATGATTTAACATCCTAATAAACCTGTTGAAAAATGTACAACCTAATTATCAGATCTCTGTTACACTGAATTGACGTGGTGTTTTACTCATGGAAAAAACTAATCACTCTCCCGATTTTCAAGAATGCATAAATTTTCAATCGGCATGTTTTTGCAAATTTTACGCTCTATTATTTTCTGTTCCTATGTCTTTCAAAAAAGTGAACAAGGAAGCGACAATATTCTTACTTTTTTCTTAATTTGAGTTCTTAGGATGCGGAATTTAGCGTGATAACCACTTTTATACCTCAGGAGACTGGTAGAGGAAACCGTTGAACTCATTAATAGGACTATCACCAGGTATGAGAATAGGGTAACCCTCATATGGATACCTGCTCATAAGGGGCACTATGGCAATGAGGAGGCGGACAGCCTGGCCAAGGAAGGATCAAATACTGAGTTCGTCGGACCACAACCGGTATTACCCCACTCTTTAAGCACAGCAAAAGAGAGTATAGGTAGCTGGGGCATGAAACAATTCCTTAAGGAATGGAATATGTCCCCAGGATGCAGGCAATCGAAGGAGTTTCTGAAGGAAATCAAACCTAAAGAATCGAAATGGCTATTCTCTAACTCTAGGAGGGGAATAAGGAGGCTGATAGGTATCCTAACGGGCCATTGCCCCTTGAGAAGACACCTCTTCATAATGGGTACTCTACCAGACCCCTTCTGCCGCTTCTGCGAAACAAAAGAAGAAACGCCCGACACTACCTCGCAGAATGCGATAGGTATGCCAGGGAAAGATTTAATACTTTCGAAGGAGAGGACATAACCAAAACACTCCCCAGGATAAAATGGTCCACAATCCTGGGGTTTGTGAATAGGTCCAATAGGTTTATGCAGGACTCGTGAGCCGACCAGGTCCCGGACCTTTTAGGGATGGGGTACGGGCCTACTCAGGCTTTTAACCCCTCGGGTCCTGGTCGCCCGCCCTGTGTAATATATATATATACCTCAGGAGGGAAATACAATTATTCCTTTTCATTGCACACTTGTTATGGCAGTTTGACTTCAAATAACGTATTGAAAAAATAAGTTTACGTGCGGTAAAATCGAAAGAGACCGAGATCGGTTTTTCCATGAGCACGTAAAAAACCAGGTTTTTGTCCAAAAATAGCTGAATAACTCGAAAACGGTTGAGAAATCGGGCAGAGTGAAAGGTGTCCAATTGAAAGCTTATTAAAATTTCCTATCAATTTCTGTAGCGCGCCGTTCCTGAACGATTTCGAGGCTCCACAGCTCAATTTAATGTTTTCATAAAAAGTACAAAAATTAACGTTTTCCCCAATTTTTGAATTTACTCATGAATAACTGAAGCTACGGAAACATTTGAAAATCCGTCTTATTCGGCGTTACATTTTCGAAAAAATAAAACCTAGTGAAAGCCTGTGACATAAAAGGCTTAGAAAATATGTATCCAAAATTGGCAATTTTTTTTGTATAAAATCTAGGTGGACGGCTTTTTCGACTGACCATTTCTCATTTAGCCAAAAACATTATTAATTTAATTAATAAATCGTTTTCTTGTGTTTTTCACTTGGGTGTAAGATAATTATCCCTTTCTTTTTTTATAGTAATGCGAAGACATATTACAGTTTAACTTTTCTTAATCTGTCCATAAAACGATGTCAGGTTGGTGGAAACCACCGAGCAACAACCCAACACAACTTTGTAGATGTTATCTGTTGACTCGTGCAATGCAAGATTAATTTAGCGGCACAATAGTCACGAACGACAAACTGTGCCGCCCGCCGGGATTCTCGGAAGGGCCGCTTTAAGCCTTCGTCAAACACACTTTGTTCAACTCAAACGAATCCGGGGTAAATTTTTAATTCGAGCCTCCTTGTTCCACAGTTGAACACCAGCGTCCAAACAAGCCGTCTCGGAGGAGGGTGAACAAGGAGGATGTTTGCCGAAAAAGAGAAATCGTGTTTAAGCTCTGGTAACAAATTGGCCTCCCAGAACGAAAGGGTGAAAAAGGGGATGGGGGAGCTTGAACGAAAAGCCGATTCGGCCGCTTTTAAGTGAGCGTCTCTCCTTTTTTTTCACAAAAGAAATCTAGGGGAGGCACGGACAAAAACTCACTTTCCAACGTTCTCAACTGTCACTTTACACTCCGGTCGGATTGTTATGTTTTTTTATTTTATTTTATTGCTATTCGATTTTGGAGAATCACGTTTTTATCTATATACAGCATTACAGTAAATATTTTGCCATTCCATCTAATTAATCTTACATACCCAATTGATACATTTATTATTACAGGGCCGATCTAATTTAGCATATTTTTCCACTAACTTTGTACTCATTTTACAAACAAATACAATCCATATTTTCAAACTTAACAGGAAAAACCTACCAAATAATTGTAAAAATTAAAAGGTTATTCGTTAAACGTTGTAACAGAGACGAAAAAACCTCTATAAAATTTTCAAGTCCGAAAATTTCAATTGGAAACATAGTTGAATAGCAATTTTATCATTCATTTCGCTCAGTAGTTAAGCTTAAATAAATATATATATATATCCTAAATTTTACATAATAAGTATAATTATAATAAAACTAAGACATGAAGATTAACGAATATACCTTGGGATAACGGTAACTCTAAAACTGTAATTAAATACACATTTTGAGGAGAAAATTGCTTCCACTAAAAGGCTATAAATGCAATTTGAACCGCTATATTCGAAAATAACAAAATTTCTTTCAACCCGAAGTTGGCGATATTTAAATCAGTCACTGGAGTAATGATTTGCTACGGGGCACAGTGTGCGTTTTTTACATAATTTGTACCTGTATACAGCATTATGTTGATTACTAAAATTAACAGTTAGTGAAAAAATTCTATACATACATATGTACACACATAAACCTGTACTTACATATTAATAAAATTTTAAGGGCATGACGGCTGGAAAAGGTAAGTCGCCGATTTAGACGGCGGGATTTTGATGGAAGCATATTTGGTTAGTGTGTATACTTATGAAGTTATGACATTTTTGGGAAAAGATGAGTTGTTTGACAAAAGTTCTAATCCGCAGGTCCAGATGGGTCGAAACGTAAAAGCTAAGAAAGCTGACGATAACCAATGTACTTTGCCAACCCTGCAACCAAAAAAAAATTAATTAATTAAAAAATAAAATAATAAAAATTATACAAAAAACTATATTTATAACACCATAAATATAAGTACAAAATATAATTGAAGTGAGGAATAATTAATTAATGGTTACTTAATAAATAACAATTTATTTTTTCAACAAAGAATATTTTCATATTTACTATACACATATAATATATAAAAATATAAAATTTTATATAATATATAAGTAATTCGGTTAAATTTAATTACAAATAATTAAATTATTGTAATCAAATAAATATATATAATAAATAATTAATTAATCGTTTTGGTTAAGATAAAAAAAGTCAGTGTCACGAGCGGGATTCGAACCCACGACCTTCGGCTCAATACGCCGCTGCTCTAACCACTTGAGCTATCGATCCACTTGGACACAAACAACTCCCCATCTCAACTACAACTTTTCGAATTTTCCCTCTTTTTTTCCATTTTTCAAGTATGAGTAAAACAAAGTATAGCTTCACTAACAGCTCCCCGTGGCAACTTCATATATTCTCGAGAATCGAATCCTGATTACACGACATTTGAAAAATGGCAAAAAAGAGATAGCCGAAGGTCGTAGGTTCGAATCCCGCTCGTGTCGCTAACTTTTTCTTTTCAACCAAACCCTTACATAAAAATATTAATTAATTGAAAGAACTAATTTGGTCAATAGACTACTAAATGTAATGGATAATATATAATTTTATATATTAAAGATTTTTATATATTCAAGTTTTCATTTCTATATATACACTACTATCTACATTCAATCAACATTTTCTACAGCTTATCTATTAATTTTTCTTATTAAAAATACTAATAAAAACGTGCTATCCAGTCTAGGGAGACTTAATACGTCCCGAAAACAAGAATTTTAGTTTAAAAATTATTATTTCTCCATTATTTTTATTACTTCAGAACAGTATAATGTTTTTAAAACAAAGTAAATAATTTATTTTGTTTGACAAGTTATTTAACGTAATAGGCGATATATTGAAGTTAGAATAATAGTGGGGGATCTTGCAGATTTCTGATTTTACTTTGGTCCGTGTATGCTCGCTGTTTGTTCGACTCAAGGGAAAAACACCGAACGTGGCGTGCGGATGAATCGATATAGAAAAGCCACCGACAATAGGCTCACCTAGAAGTGAACTTACGTACGTGTTTTAAGCAATTTGTTTTATCGGTTTTGTGTGTAAAGGGCGGGATTCTCAAGAAATGCACCGTAAGGGCAACGTTGGAAATTCCTTAATCGATGACAAGAATCGGTCGAATGTGTGAATCAGCATTCTCGTGCAACCGCACGGAGCCTATCGATCATGGAAATGCGCCTGACACCGTCTCGAAAACCTCCGTGCCATGAATACACAACTAACGATCTCGATGATTCGCCTCCGGATATGTACACGTAATTAAAATGGTAATGAAAGTGATTATAATATTATTAAGGCAGTTGGGTTTAACATTCTTCTAACCGCACAACATTAGCAAGCTGTAAAATGCAAAACTGTAAACGAAAACACCAAATAAACTTATACATAGTTGATTATAAATAGAGTTATACATAGCTATTAGGAAATAGTTCTACTTGTTTAATAAAATATATAGGAACAATAATCTCGAACAGTGTTACAAAATACAAGCAGTCAAGATTGAGGTTTTTGCCTACGTTTCGACCTTTATTCGAATCTTCAGGGCATAAAGTGTAGTGCTATTTTTTGAGGTCATATTGGTTTTGTGTGTCAAAATTTTACAAAAACTTTTCTAACATTTTTTTCTGCTAGGATTTGTACTTTTAATTATAGTACGATTTTTTTTTTCAGAGGTAATGTAAAGGGATGTCTCCTTGGATTGGGTGCGTGTTGGCGGTGGTGATAGGACTGGCGCAAGGGAGGCCCTACTCCGGCCCGACTTCCGAAAGGACACACACTCCGCCTCGGGCAGAGGACCTCGATCCCATGATCGTGAAGACGAGGTCGGGCCTGGTCCGCGGCATGGCGAAGTCCGTCCTCGATCGCGAAGTGCACGTCTTCACGGGGATCCCGTTCGCGAAGCCCCCGGTCGGACCGCTCCGGTTCAGGAAGCCCGTTCCCGTCGAGAACTGGCACGGGATCCTTGACGCGACCACGTTGCCCAATTCCTGCCACCAGCAACGGTACGAGTATTTCCCTGGGTTCGAAGGCGAGGAGATGTGGAACCCTAACACCAACATGTCAGAGGATTGCCTCTACCTCAACATTTGGGTTCCGCAAAAGATCAGGCTAAGGCATCACAACGCCCAAGACAGATATAATAAACCTAAGGTAAGCCGAAAAACGTTTTTTGTCACCTTCACAATGCATTATTTCCGTTAATCGCCTTTTATTGTTATTATTATCGACCAAACGTTGAACCAACCAAATCATTACCACCCTTTTGTTCTCAAGTTGTAATGCAATATTTAACAACAACCTTTTAATAGCCTTCCTTTTTGTATATTACATAGCATTGATTTTTAACAATTTACTAACTTTTCTTGGTGTTTTAAATTTTTATTACCCTAATTGCATGGTATATTTGTTCTTGAGGCAGGTATGTTTGAGGATTTATTATTTGTCATACTACTTTGTTAATTTCAATTAAACACCAAATCAATATATTTTATTACAAATGTAAAATCAAAGTTCGTTTTAAGAGAACGATTATTCAATGTATGGTAATTATTATTATTTTATTGATAATTTCCCGGCACTAATTTTACGAGGCGTTAAGTGCAACCCCTCCGGCACAACCGGGAAGTATTGCGGGTTTAGTGTTCCAGCCCCTCGCTTTCATATTTTCAAGGATGATTCTTAATTTATTAACAAATTTCTTATTAGTAATTAATAAAACTATTTAATTTTATCAATATAAATTTTTATTGGTGTTTTTTCTATAATCACTACGTGGTGACATGTTTGTGTAAATTTTATTATATTTTGAGTATTGGGAGATCGTAAGATACGGTCTGTTGGGAAGGTTAGAAAAACATTGTCTTTACCGACGTTTCGATCGTTATTGAGATCATTTTCAGGGCCTGGGATTTATAAACATTGTTTAAATTATACAAATACATGTAGGATATGAAAAAACGAATTTATATTGGGTTGTCCGGAAAATAATGCAGGATTTTGGTATTAAACAAAAAAAAAAGAAACTAGTTACTTTAAAGCAATGTTCTTTAATCAAAATAATTTCCCATACTCTCAATACATTTCTCCCAACGTGTTGGTAACTATNTTTCCTGCATTATTTTCCGGACAACCCGATACATTGCTTGAAATTTTAGACTCGGGTGTGATGTAAAGTTGAGGTCTCTCTACTTTACACCACACCATCCCCGTCATACAATAATTTATTTTTTTTATAGCGTGATTGGTTCAAGATAAATTCAACCGGGCCATCAAAAAAAGACGTCCTGTAAACAAAAAAAATTACCAAAAAAACGGCTTAAAACTATATTAATGAAAATTTAGATCATTAACTGTTTTATTAAATACATAAAATAAAAAAAGGCCATAATTTTCCTAGCCAAAGTACATAATGCCATTCACGACTTACTTTTCTCTTTTATGGAATATTCATCATTTTCATAACTAAAGCTCACAAACCTTCCAACCACATATCTTCCCACAGACCAATCAGACTTCTTTGTTGACGTTGTCTTAGTTGTTATAAGGTATGTGGTCAATGAAAGATATTTTTAATTTTAAATCTTCGCCTAGCTTGTTACTTTACTGCACTCATTATTTAGAGATCATGAGATGCGATCTGGTGTGGTATAAAGTTGAGGTAGCGATCACTCTACTTTACCCCACACCATCCCAATCATAAAATAATTTTTTTTTTTGGTAGAGTAATTGATTCAAGAAAAATTCAGCCGGGCTATCTGAAAAGGACATCATGCATGCAATAAAAATAACCANCTTTGTTTATGTTGTTTGTTATTTTTTGATGTAAAGAATATTAAATGATTGTTTAACATCAATAAAACATTTTGTAGATTTATCGATATCGCAGATGACGTTGTCTTAGTTGTTATCAGGGATGTGGTCATTGAAAGATATTTTTAATTTTAAATCTTCGCCTAGCTTGTTACTTTACTGCACTCATTATTTAGAGATCATGAGATGCGATCTGGTGTGACATAAAGTTGAGGTACCAATCTTTCTACTTTACACCACACCTTCATACAATAAATTTTTTTTTAGCGTAATTGGTTCAAGAGCAATTCAGCCGGGCGATCTAAAAAAACGTCCTGTAAACAATAAAAATGACCAAAAGAACGGCTTAAAAACTATATTAATGAAAATTTAGGTCATTAACTGTTAGTGCACATTTTTGATTGTTGAACAATGGATGTCAATATAACTGGAAGGACAATTTCTTTTATTAAATACATAGAATAAAAAAAGCCCATAATTTTCTTAGCCACAGTATAATGCCACTCGACAAGTACTTTTTCTCTCTTATGGAATATTCATCATTTTCATTCCTAAAGCTCATAAACCTTCCAACCACAAATCTTCCTACAGTCCAATCAGCCTTCTTTCTGCAAAGTCCGAAATCCTCAAGGCTTCCTTTAAAGCGCTTAACCCCCCCCCCAGATACTTATAAAATCATTCCTTCTCACCAATTCGGCTTACGTCTTCATCATTCCATCATCAGCAAACCTTGATTTATTTTTGAGAGCGGGAAAGAGAGATTGATAGCATTTGCCTACGTCCGACGTCTTATAGGCTGATTGCCGTTGCCTTAATGAGATGATTTTATAATATCGTTTATGAGGATGGATATCTAGCAAATTCCTGTCTGTCGTAGAGTACTTTGTCAGCTTATCTACTGCCTCATTATGCCTCTTGAGAGACCTTCCACCCATCATAAAGCTACTTTTTTTCAATCTTTTATTGAAAAGTTGTGAATTTTATCAATTCAAGATATTCAAATTTTGCTTTTACTGTAAAGTTTTGGAGTTGGTAATATTAGTGGTACTACAAATACTAAGACAGTCCGTTAGAATGCATATCTTGTCTCCATCTAAACTGCTCAAAAATGAATAGGGATATTTGCACTTTATTTTTTGTTATTTATTTTTATTCCTAATATATTAAGTTTCATTAAATTAATCGATATATTCTTGTTAGTTGGATAAAACAAAATAGAAAATACAAACCAAAAATAAACAAATGGTAATCCTAATTTTTAATAAAGGGTTTACTTAAAAATAGTAAACACGAAGATTAGTCATTTTGTAACCAAACACGTTTTTTCGTTTTTCTCTATTTTAATCCAGTTGTATTTTCTTTAACAATGGAAAGACATCATCTTGATCCAGAAGATCGCAATATTATTGTGAGAATGAGTCATCGTTGTGACTGGCAAATGGATATCGCAGTCAGTTGGCGTTTCTCAGAACGTGGTCTCCCGGGCGATTCAGAGAGACTGAAAGTGCCAATTGGAGGCCTGGTAGTGGATCTCAGCGCATTCCGACTCTCGGGGAGGACAGAAATCTTGTCATTGCTGCAAGACGGAGAAAGAGCCCGTCACCAGCAACTCAGGAGAATATGGTGCAGCTAGCGCCTAGAGGAGAGCACCAGTTGGAATGCTGTTATGATTACTGATGAGTCACGTTTCTGCCTGTATAATGTTAGCAGGCGCCGAAGGGTCACCGAGAATAGGAGATGCTTCACGCCTCAGTTTGTGCTCCCTTCAGTACAGTTTGGAGGAGGTAGTATAATGTTCAGGTCTGGGATTAACACGGCAGGACTAACTGGACTCCATATTGTTGAAGGCAACCTCACCGCAGTCCGTTATGTCCAAGAAATTGTCGTAAAATACATCCCTCAAACCGTGGATTTTTCTATTTCTAGATGACAATGCCAGACGTTATAGAGGCAATGTTGTTCATCAATGTTTAGAAAACGTGGGAATTTCCCATCTGCCCCTTCCTCATTGTCTTCAGACCTCGATCCCATTGAGCACATGTATGCGTTGTAGAAAATGCTTTTCGATCACCATCCGCAGCCATTTGACCTGCAACAAATGAGTGTAGCGTTGCAACTTCTATGGAGTTAAATTCTTTAATAAAATAGTGACAACGTATGCCTAACAGGTGCTTAGAGGATGCATGTTTTAGATATCACAGGACATTATACTCGATATTAATTGTTTTAAAAAATTATTGGGTTCAATAAACAAAATTATGAAAGTAAAGCCTTTCATATTTTTATTTTTTAAATTCTCTTAATTAAATTTTCCTTAAATACAATAATTTCTATTACTACTACTATATGTCTTTATTGTTTAATGTATATACAAAGTTTACAGATCGGCTGTATATACTATAGAGCAAGAAAGACGTTCCTCGTGGTTTAAAACCATCTGAGGGAGTCTAGCACATAAACTTATATAACTAAAATCTCTCTTCTTAGTATTTACAAGTAATTATAATTAGTATTTACAAAAGGAATACATTCTTTCTTCAAAAATTTTAGTAATGAAATAATAGAGCATACTTTCTATTAAATTATAATGTAATTTATAATAAAAATAAAATAAAAATGCTAGGGAAAATGTATACTACAAAATGGGCAATATCCCAATTCTGTTTTGAGCAGTTTTGATTCTACATCAATGAATTCTGCAATATTCAAAGCTCGTAATTTAATTTCCAGGCTTGTTTTATTTACACAGCCATTATCTACTCCATATCTTCGAATAAATATATTAAACGTCACTCTCTCATATTTCGTCATTGTGTATCCAATTTTGCTACAAGTTATCCCTGAAAAAAGTTTAATTTTGCTATGACTATATAAAAAAGAAGAACTTAATTAAAAATGATTATGCAAAATGAATAAATTGTTTAGATAAGAATATGTGCATTTAATTGACGCCTGGGATGCAAAATGGACATATAAATTGGTAAATAAAAATTTCCGTATCCAGGTCTTTAATCTACAATGTAATATCAATATTTTGTTGGAAACATGACAGCTAAAAGGCGGTTTTATTGTTTTAAATTAATATTTTTCTAATATTTAAAATTAGTAGCTAATGAGTATACTTTCTTCCCTGCGAGTTTTGAAAGAATTTAAGAATCAAAACAAGTTAAATCTTGTTTGTTGCATATTCAGATTAATTTATATTAAACTTCATTTTAGCTAAGTGTGGGCCTTTTTGTACTATTATTTTATAATAATAATCATATTACCAATTTAGAATTTTTCGAATTACGAAAAGTTAAATAACAAAAGGAGCTGAAATGTTAAACCCGCAACACTTT